ATTGTCACCAAATGTGTTCTTGTAAGTACATGTAAAAGTTCTATATTATGACATAAAATCGAGCAAAAACGCAGTTTCTTGGTATCGGTCGCGGAAGACGAACTACTGCTGTATATGCAGCAATGTCAGAGGTAATACTGTAGATGGACATGTCATCAGTCTCCAAAAAATTCCTAGAGATACAAAGAAAATATGGCTGCAGCAGGCTAGATTAATTCTTAAAAACTTTATAACTAAAAATTTGTTCCGCACAGATGATCCGTCTGCAGAACATCCACTACCGAAAATTAGCTTTTGTTTATTTTTTAAATAGGCCTATTCGAATATGTATCAGCATTTTATCAGTAATTTGTTTCGTTTTTTTTTTTTTTTTTGTAAGGGGGGGGGGGGGGGTCACACAGCACCTTATTATAGTACTATACAGATTAATACAAATCCAGAAAGAGACTATGAGTGGGCAATTAAAAAAAATACGAATCAGTTAAGATTTCTTTTTATTCACAAACACAATAACATTTTTCCATATGACAGAGGCATTACACCATGAACATGTTTTCATCAAGAACGTCCGCGGAAGTGACTTTATTTATAGCGCATGCGTATTAAACACAGTAAAAGAGTTCCCTTCAGGGGAAATAACTCACCTTTTGAAAATGGGGAATAACGTCACTTCCGATGTGAAGACAACTCTGTAAAAATTTCGTTTGTCAACACGGCATCTAATTAGAGTTATTTCCCATTCCCCGAGCGAGGCGCAGCGCAAGAAAGACGCCATTGCGTAAAAATCGCGAATACTTTTGTCATAGCGCTGTACATCACAAGATTTTGCATATACATGTACATCACAAGATTTTGAACATACATCACAAGATTTTGAATATACATCACAAGATTATCGAGTAAAGCAATGTTTTACACGCCATAATAGCGTGTATATCTTTTACATTGATTTAACGATGGCAACAGTGGTTGTCGGAAGTCAAGTATTCTTAATACATTTCTAATTTAATTTCCCAATTTACAAACTCCTGATTTAAATAACGCTGAGCAAAACATTGTAATATATTATTTGGTGAAATTAAACTGTTACTGTTACAACAGAACTGATGTCATGTAATAATGTACCTTTGTTGAAACCTAATTTTTTTTGTACTCGTATATATAGGAATGTAAATTTCGGCAAGCGATAGGCCAGGAGTTAAGGAGGCCTAGAATGCATGTAAATCCCGTGCGTCTGTCTGGGTCTGGACGCTAAGGAGGCCGTTATGCTTGTAAATCTCGTGCGGCTGTCTCGGTGTTTGGTGTCACTGGGCGGGGACTACTGAGTATTGAAATTTACATAGGAGACCTCTACATTTTGAAAATCTAAATTTACAATTTTATCTTACAATGAAATGGAAATATAAAGCTTTGATGCCCGTTATGAATAAATTATCCGATGTTTCCAACTATCGTTAATGTTTCTGGCATACTCTACTATAACTAGACAGTGATTCCTTATATTTCCAAGACGGCGGAATATTGTGTGTGTGTGTTTTTTTTTTTGTTTTTTTTTTTTGTTTTTGTTTTTGTTTTTTTTAATAATGTACAATTTAGTATTACGCATCACATATTACAATTTGAGCAAAACGTCTATTGTAGTATTTGCATGTATAATTTCTAAATTTGCTTTAAGGTGCGAAAAATTAGCACTTTCTTATATATAATCTTATAGAAAATGTACCTGCATTTTGAGACAGTTCCTTAAAATACCCAGACGATAGATTTTCCCCAAACGTGGTACACGTGGTATGTACACTGAGTTCATTGAAGTAATTTAAGGAATGAATCTCTACGTTTGCAAGGGCATTAACGAAATTTGGAAACGATGGATACTTCACATAACAACTGAAGTTCTTTGTGAATGAATCATTATTATAAGTTTCCAACATTCGAAAAGCATCTGGAATATAATTTAAACACTAAATAGTGTTTCCTTCCCAACGGCGAGGAATATTAGGTACTTGAATTTTTACATTTTAATTTGCATTCAGTATTACATATCGAGAAATAAACAATTTACTTTCAAAAAGTAATCAAAGAAAAACAGTTAGAAAAGTAACTAGAGCAAAGCTCGCTGCAAAGCAACGAGTAGATCTTCCGTCCTGTTTGACCGGAAGTAACTTTTATTTTTAAAAAAAGAGAAATGACGTCTCTAATGGTTGAAATCTTCCAAATCTATGTTTAAAATTGCAAAAGTAAGCCATTTTTTGCTACTTCCTGTTTGACCGGAAGTGACGTCGACGGACGGAAAATTAAGTTTCATGCTTTCAGTGACAAATATTTCCCCAAAACATGTCAAAAATGGCAAAAATATGCAGTTTCGGACTACTTCCGGTTTGGTCGGAAGTGACGTCACAGGACGTATTTTGATGACATCAGTAGATTTTACCAGAGATTTCAACAACTTTGCTTCTTTGATGTATAACAAATTCTCAATACTTTTTTGAGATATCTGGAAAAAAACTTTTGGCCCCTTTAGATCCCTTAATTTAGGGGTCAGTCCTTTTTCTGAGATATCATTTGAAAGATCTTCTAATTCTGCACAAATTATGTTCGATATATTTTTACAAAATATTTTTAGTTTAGAAGATAAAAAGCAAAATATGAGTAATTTTTGGCTCTTTTAAGCGTTCTAATTTTTGACCCCTATTTGGCGCCATTTAGAATGCAGAAATCGAAAAACAAAAACCGATGTGCACAACTTCAATCCTTCTGTTATCTAAAATCAGTAGAATTCATGCTCCAGCTTTAGCCATCTCTGAGCCTTTGTCTGGAAACGAAAGCCTATAAATTTTCATTTAAAGGGAAATAACTCGAAACCGGAAGTGACTTTTTGAAATTTTAGACATCATTCTGATAAAGTTTAGTAACTTCTAGTACCTCTGAAAATTTGAGCGAAATCGATTGAGAAATGAGTGAGATATGAGGCTTCAAAGTTGGCGTCTAGGAAGTAGAAGAAAAAAAAAAGAATAATGATCTTTACCAACAGAATCAGTAGAAGGTCTTCCGTTGGAAACGGAAGACCTTAAATATCATACATTGCAAGAGTGATGTGTCTTTTTAAAGTGAAAACCCTGAAAGACAGGCTGCTGAGTAAAAAAAGTTGCAGGGATTTGTGCTACCGAGTCTCAGATGAAAGAGATTTAATGTAAATTTAAGATAGGTGCACGCTGAGACCTTACGATTTTACCATTCTGATTGTATACTTGTCAAATATTCCACACTTAATACTGAAAAGGTTCTTGACTTTTTGTTTGACAATTCTTGCTGTTCTGATTGACAATATCTAAGAAGTTTTTGTAGTTATTGATAAAAAGTTGATTGCCAGAGGATATCATTTTTTCTTACTAATTGTTAGTCAATAAATTTAATTCAAATGCTGACTGATATTTATATTAGCAATTGTTAGGCACTGATTTACACACTGAATTGTCTACGGCTTTTTCCCAATCATGGCAAGAAGAACACGACGAGTGTGATCGGTCGGCAGGAGATGCTCGCTCCGCATTAGCACCTGATCCCTCCTTGATGTTTTTGAAGTCGTGTTTGGTCTGCTTCTCATTTGTATTGCTTGAATGGACTTGTGAGTTTAAATATCGGAATATTTGATCAGGCCGGGTAGATTCATACCGGTTTTTAAAATTACAGAAATGAATCAGGGAAATGAGATATACATTTAATGTCATCGTCAGGTTGGAGTGTCCGAAAGGTACACTGCATGCAGGGTCCAGCAAATATTTACAAATCCCCTATCCTTACTTCTTACAAGAATTAAGTATAAAATTCGAGAGAATGTAAGTAAAATACGAAGTTTGGGTTCACATGTACTTGATCACCGTAAAACAAAACAGAAACAAAATATGTTTTCAAGGTTTGATATGTATTACTAGTACTTGTAGTTTCTTGATAATAGTCCAGTACTCTTTGTACCATACCTACGTGCCTCAGACCTTGTATATGTACATGTACCAGTATGTACCACAACTTATCTTTATACGTACAAAAATATAACATTCTATATTTATCTAATAACAACCGATACATTGTATTAGACTTGTAATAAAAAGATATGTCACATGAGTTTTCATGGATTACTCATTTGCTCTTTGATAACATTTTTTTATCGTTCTGTTGTTTACTAGTACCTTGTTTATTTGTTTTTTTTTTTTAATTTTATGACCTGGTTTTCATTAAGCTGTAAGTCTCAGCAAAAGAAAGAAAAATTATCCAATAATGATGAAAAAAAAATACAAGATGAGCACTTTTATATGGTGAATAATGAGAATGAAAAATGTCACATAAATCGATGCAGTAGATAGTTTCCAAGAACATCTCCGGACAAAATCACTTTTACAAACAGACGGACATTTGTATTCTTTATACTTCCCATGGCCATTTACTTCGTTTGCAGGGGGTATAATCTGTAGGTGAACAATCATATATACATATTGTGGTCAATTGAACTGATTAATAATGAACTATCTTCAAGTACATGGCCTTGATTTTATGACATCACATCTAAAAATGGAGAAATCGTCCTTTATTTAGGCCTAAAATAAAAATTTATTTGTTTGCAGTTGCCTACCAACCCATTAAAAACGCACCCGACCCAAACTTTTTTTAGCCATTGTGTAATTTAATTTTTTTTCAATTTTTCAGGATATTAAAAATGTTTCATTTAAATTTTTGACTTGTATTTTATCAATCAGTGGTTTATAACAAGAGTGGAGCCTAATCCTTATCATGTTTAGTATGCCTATGAAAAGCTCTATTACGTATTTAATATCTAACAAAACTCTGAACATTTTTTCCAAAAAAAAAAAAAAAAAAGAATGCCTACCTACCTCCCCAGTCTATAAAATATAGACCGATAACTGCAAACAAAGATTTTTTTAAGCTTGGCCTTACACTTAGTCACATACCAATAAGGATAATTTATTTATATAGAAATATGTATCTTATCCATAAAATGATACCACCACAGAGTACATGTGATAATGCGCATTTCACACAATATAAAAAGCTTACTTTTATCGTTTAACCACTAAAAATTTACTACAATGGAGAAATTAAGCCTCCTCGCGCTACCTTTCCTCTTGTTGTCTTTTGTTTCGAGGTCTGTAGATGGTTTCGATCACAATGTGAAGCCCCACTGTCCCCCTGAGGTGGAGGTGTGCGAGTTTGACTGGGTTATTGACTATGTAGAGACTATGATCTATTATGATAAAGATGGGCGTGGAAATCCTATAGTTGTCAGAAATGGTACACTCTTCCAGCGTTCGGATTGTAATACGCTTATCCCAATTGATGTTAATAAAGGTAAGACATGCGTAAAGGGATTTCTTTGAAAACTATTTTTTTTTCTATGCATAAAAATCCGATGGAAATTTTATCCCGTTTCAATAATCAGATATCTTTGAAAATGTATATGTAAAATGCGAAACCTTACAAAACAAAACCGTGAGTCGCCCTGATTTGCTTACACTCGACTCTAACTTTTCAACCGTCAAATTCCTTACTTATGCAGCAATATACCTTCATCTCTTGCATACGGGATTTATATCTCTCAGTTGATTGGATACTTAAGAGCATGCTCTGTGGGGAGCCAGTCAAAGCGCCCCCTAATAAAAACGTCCCGGTCAAAGCGTTCCCTAATTTTAGTCAAAGCGTCCCCTGATTTTAGTCAAAGCGCCCCCTGATTTTGGTCAAGGGGCGCTTTGACCAAAATCAGGGGACATTTTGACCAATATCAGTGGACGCTTTGGCCAATATTTGGGGGCGGTTTTGTAACATCATTTTACAGTAAAATTCTATAAGGGGCGCTTTGACCAAAAACAGGGGACATTTTGACCAAAATCAGGGGACATTTTGACCGAAATCAGGGGACACTTTGACCAAAATCAGGGGACGCTTTGACCGGGACGGTTTTATTAGGGGGCGCTTTGACTGGATTTCGCTCTGTGTATGTACAGTTTCTTAAACGAGGTAAATTATTGACAAGCAAGTTGATGAAACAAGAATATCAGCAGTCCCGTTTGGAGTCATCATTTGTTACTTCTATGGTCGATGCTATTACCTTCTCAGCAGAAACAATTTATCATGGAGTTAAATGCTGACTGACGTTTTTTAACCAAATGTTAGGTTATGAAATACAGACTAAATTATCGACGGCTTTTTCTGTTATTTCCTGTTCATGACAAGGAGCACACGGTGTGTGTGACCGGTCGGCAGAGGATGCTCACTCCTCCATGGCACCTGACTCCACCTCTGATGCTTTGTAGGTCCGTGATTTGTTCGGCTCCTTTTAATCAATTTAATGTGTTAAAATGAATTCTTAAGCAAAAGCGTTTTACAATTCAGGGTATAAAAATTATGTACTGTTATCATCCACAAATTCAAAACAAGAACAACTTGTAAAACATAATTATATTTATAAAGTATCTTCCGAATTCTGTAATTTCATTTTAATAAGTCATGTACCAATGCATTACTTAAAAACTACATACTTACATATCCAAAATTCTGTGTTAAGAAAAATTTTATGATCTCATGAGCCACCTTAGGATGAATAGGAATTATTTCATTGTGACGTAATTAGAGCTAAAAATAGTACAAACTAAATTCTTGAGAATCTATGATGTGCATGAACCAAGATTCTTCTTGCCTGTGTAATCACCACGAAGCATTTCATGAAATTAACTGGCATAAAGCTTCGTAGTTCATGAATTCTAAAAAAAAAAATCATTTCTGAAATGAGCGCTTTCTTCCTACTTTCCCTAAATGAAGAGGTACCTTGTACGTTGTCGGTTTCAACATGTTTTATGTCTTCTTTTTGTTTTGGGAACTGGAGTATATTTGTTGAAATCAATTTTGTTATATTTTGTGCACAGTGAAAATTTAAAATGACCACATTTTAACCTAAGTTCCAAATGACAGCTCGTCAAAGTATAATTATGTTACCTGATTGTCTTACAGATGCGGATAGAGCAATATTTGCAGACGGAAATTATAAAATGATCTACAGTGTTAATAAACAGTATCCTGGTCCTTCAGTCGTGGTATACGAGGGACAACAGGTAAAACAAGTTGTTCGATTTTATTGCTTTTTTAAAAAAAATAAAACTAAAATGGTATAAAATGATTGTACTTAGATATCTATTTTAAGGTATACTCAGAAATCTGTAAAGATTCCTCTAAAGCTTTGAAATGACTACATTACAATATCTGGAAATTGTTTCAGGTTGTTGTAAACATCAAGAATAATTTACTGATGGAGGGACTTACGATTCACTGGCACGGCATGGTTCAGTGGCACACGCCTTGGATGGACGGCGTGGGAACTGTTTCACATTGTCCAATCAACCCAGGGGAGACGTTCCAATATAGGTTAGTCAGGAAATCATCGCATACCAGTATTTTCTTTTTAAAAAATTCAATTACAATTCTTGAGCAAATTTGAGCATTTCTTCTTCTTCTTTTTACAAGTAACATATGTGCATCATTTGGTGTTCCTCATATATAAACGGTTGTAATTTCTATCATGAGGTCATCCTAAATTTATGATTATGGTTTCTGATCCTTTAACTTACAAGTCGATGATTTGATTATGCTTGAATTTGAAAATAAATAATTATGAAAATCTGAATGCTTCATTACTTTATTCCTTAAGGTGTCCAAAGAAATCTTTCCTGCATTCGTTTGTTAAAAAAAATAAATCTTTAAGCTGCTGCAGCTAAAACTTTACTAGATGGATTCTTTTAAAGGCAACCTTCTCAAAGAGAAGGGAAGCTTTTTGAATTAATTTTTTGGTGACAGTAATTTAATCAGTTCCGAATAAGAAACAGATTCGGCGGTGCTATAAATATACGAGGCATTATTTTAAAATCTAATTTTTTTGACAAGGTATTTCAATGACTTGTGGAGTGAAATATTGTTTCATAAAAGTTCAGCCTTCTCCCAAAAAAATTATTTCGCAAGTTACATAGGTGTCCATTTTACCAGTTACGAATAAGCCGACGAGTTCCAAATACCCTAGCGGTATCCATTCAATTCAACCCTGAATTAAAAAATATATGCCCCACACATTAGCCATTGGCATGCCTAAGAAAAGTTAAATTAATTGCTTACCAATAAGTTATTTGTATTTCCAAAGGATAAAGAGAAACTAGGGGAACTGTGAGCACTGAGCTCACTTTAATATATACCTCACGCCTACTATATGATTATTATGACAAAGTCCATGTTTTGCTCTGGGAGACCCAAAATAAGTGTCAGATCAAAAAGTAAAATAAGAGGTCAAATGTAAAATGGCACAATATGATTAAGAATCTGTGAAAGTATCATTAAACCTTATCCAGTGGAATGGAGGAATTGCGGATAAGAGATGGATATACCCTTCAATATTAGAAAGAATGGCAGTATCCATGTAATGCTAAGTGAGCCCAAATTATGTGCCAGATCAAAAAAATAAAATAGGTGTACTTTGGCGCTATTTAACAAAGATTCTGTGAAAACCTCATTAAATTTCATTCAGTGGTAGAAGAGGAGTTGTGGATAAGAAATGGGTACCCTAAAGCGTATCAGACGGACGGACGTACAGACATTTATACGGACATACAGACGGATGGATGGACAAACATCCCATGACTATATACCCCTTCCCCTGCTTTTCAAGCGAGGGTATAATAAGTCACGTTTACAATGAAGAAAACAACGAAGAATGAATTTATAATAGTGTTTAAAATGGGTATTCGGAACTAGTAAAATGACAAATATCTTCCAGTGTTCTAAATATTTATTTTAGACAAGTTTTTAGTATTTGTTAGAGTACATATCAAACTTACTTTTGATACCTGGAATGTTTTTTTATGTGAAAAATTGGTTTCTCTACAGAGGTTTTTATGCAGACTTAACGCGTCGCGATGATTCAGATTTGTTGCATTGTAAAAGTATGTCGACCTTTTCAAGTACGATAACGAAACCGAACTGACCGCAAAAAATCAAAACTTTGCATAAATTCAAACACTCATAAATAAGCCTTCTTACCATAGTTATCAATTTATTTTTACACCTTTAAATGTATTTTAATGTATTAATTATCAGCTCTTAAATTAAGAATTATTCGGAACTGGTCAACATTCGGAACTGGCCAAACGACTGTATTGATATATCAAAGACAAATGAAAGTCTCTGCAAAAAATGAAGAATTAGTACCTTTTGCAGGTTTTTGGCTGATCCTCCTGGAACCCATTGGTATCACTCTCACTTAGGAACAGAACGTACAGATGGTATGACAGGGGCACTGATTGTGCTCCCTAGACCCGATAAAGCAGAGGTAGTGAGTATATGCCTGTTGTGTATTTCTTGTGTTTTACTGTAATGAAATACCTGTGGTATGGATTAAAATACAGACACTTTGTATTGGTTTCTGATTCTTTCTTTAGAAACTGAGAGATGATTTACCGGAGTTATCCGGGGACTTTGTCATGGTTTTGACGGACTGGAAGCTCGACGCTTCTGTGGAGACAAAAAATGAGGCTGACTGGGGACTGAACACGTAAGTATGTTATAATTATATTCACGAGTACATGTATGCCGGTGAATATAATGTGAGCAGAGAATTATTGAATTTAATAAAGAAGCTGGATTAATTTTATATTTGTGACAGGTTTTCATATGGATTTAACGAAACTAAATGCTACTCATTCACATTTGATGCCACGGGAGGAGCAGTGGGTCTATTTCCTTTTGAAGCAGCGCTTATTAATGGTAGAGGTAGGTTGACGATATATTAGCAATTTACTATATTTAAATATCCAGAACAACCAAAGAATCGACAAAGAAATTCAACATGAGTTTCTTGCCAAGTTTTAGCAGTTTAGTTGTAAAAAAGTTATGATCTGACATCTCTTTTATTTTTGGTAGGTAATCATTATCTAAACAAAGACAACCCAGAACAGCCCGATATACCAGAGTTGCCAATAGAAACGTTTAATGTTGAACGATACGGTTATTACAGGTTTAGGGTTATCAACTCGGGCATGCTCTATGCTTTCCGTGTATCTGTCGACAAGGTATGTGATTTTCATAATTATTTCGTCAAATTTACCTTTATTCATACGAAATAGCGAAAAAATAAGCAATATGCATTTCATCCGATCAGAGCTTTCTTTGACGAAAACCGTCACGGTATATGTAACTCATTCGACTTAGAGTTTAGTGATCGAAAGATCCTGGATTCAAACCTAACTTCGCCACGACTGACCTAAGTCAATAAAAAAAAAGTAGCAATGTTCCTTCGCAAGCCCCCAGAACTTTGAAAGTGAAAGTTTTTTTCGGATAAGACTTTAAAAACCAAGGTCCCATTGACTCTCATACCACGATAGGCTTTGGAACGATAAGTAATGTCGAGAAAAGGTCTTAACTTGAAGCCCTTTGCCAGAAGGCCCTATTTGACAAAATTTTATTCAGGTGCATCGAGGTCTACGTAAACACATAAAAGTATTTGACTGTTCTATACAATTGTTTTTATTAGAGACCATTTCATTTAATTCAGCATGACATCCAAATAATATCTGTCGATGGTAATGATGTCACAATGACCAGTGCTGAATCAGTCATGGTGTTTGGTGGTGAAAGAGTAGATTTCATAGTACTGGCTTCGGAAGACATCAACAATTACTGGGTGCGCGCGCAGACTTTGGAAGTAGCCAACGGTGAAGGGGTAATTCATATTCGACAGTAGAAAATCTAAAACATAGAATGTTATTTTCCTGAAAATACTCCCTTTTAAATGTATACAGTCATATTGATATATATAGTTTTATTTTAAAGCCTTTTAATCCTGATACTGCACTCGCTGTCTTGCGATACAGTGGAGCTCGTGTAGCAATTCCTAAAACAGATCGGTATCAGTGCAGACCCAGAGATCCATGCAGGGTTGTTAACTGTCCTTTTGGGTGAGTATATTAAGGACGACGTCGTTTTGTAGAAATTGCTGGGTTAGTTTTCTTGGCGCTTGGCATTTTTTAAGTGAAGGTTGGGGATACCTCAAATTAAACAGGTCCCACGTATCACAGAAGGTGTTGGATTTCTCACTTCTTAACATGGACTTTCCTTACAAAAACTTACTGTCAAATAGTTCATCGGATATGCCATAAGTATCATTGGTCGATATCGATAATGATTTTTATTTTTGAATGGCGTGATACTCATGTAGTCAATACCTTGAAGAAAAAAAAAACTGGGGGCAATTAAATGATTGTATATATAGTACGAACATGCAAATTTTTATAACAAAGACACAACATTGGGAACAAGAGAGAGATGGATTTTTCCGTAATTTCCCGATCATTACAAGAATCACACGGCGAGTGTTGTCGGTCGGCAGGGGATGCTCACTCTGCCATGGCACCTGATCTCGCCCCTGATATTTTGGAGATCCGTGATTACTCTAATGCAAATTCGTATCGTGTTTTAAGGACTGCTGAGCTTAAACACTGTTCGTTATCACCATATAGTTCATGGAACAAGGTTAGAGTACCTTCGAAAGGGTTTGTGCCCGGGGGGATTCGCATGTGTATAATTTTCTACAATACAGTATTTTTTTTTAAGTTTTGGTATAAATTAAATTCAAAGAAGATGCACTTAAATGTGATTGATTGTTTGTTATAATCACACTGAAAGTTAGATTAGAAGATAATTTGACGTAAACAAGATTCTGGGTAATACAACGTTCTGATTTTTGACTTAACAAACAGTCAGAAAGTGTACTTACTGTAATTTTGCCTTGATCTTATTTTCATTGATAATTATTATAATCAATTTTAATCGACGACCAAGCAGCAAACTGTTAACAAGAATGCAAATATGTAAATATTTAGTTTGCTATGTCATTCTTGCAGTTGTTAACATCTTTTTTTTTCTTTTTGCATTGTACAAATTTTCAAAAAAGAAACACAAACAATACAAATTGAAATGTACAGCTGTATAGAATATGCATGTAAGGGGGAAATTATACAAACAAAATGGAAAATATTCTAAATGAAAAAAAGATACAATAGAAATATATACATGTATATACAAATGGAAATTTGTTCCATGCAAATAAAAAAAATTACAATATAATTAAGGAATCACTGTCTAGTTTGGAGAGTTTGCCAGGGCATCAACAATAGTGGGAAACATGGGATAATTTGCATAACGGGCGAAACCCGTTATGCTAAAATTATCCCATGTTTCCCACAATTGTTGATGTCCCTTGCATACTCTCCTAACTAGACAGTGATTCCTTATATTTCCATTTCATTGTGAAATAAAATTGTGGACAAAGACATTAAAAATGTAGACTAATAAATTTAAATTACACGATGCCAATTTCAATAGTCCTTAGTCTGGTCCTGATTTTTAAAAAGAAGGCTAGAAATAACTTCTAACGGCAAATAATTATTATTTGGTCCAGCATAATTTTTTAACCTATTTCGAGTATGCTGAATCCGAAAAAATATGCTGGCCTTCATGAAAATGGCGTTAAAGAGGTCAAAATGGCGATTCAAAATGGCGGACATCAAATTTTTCTAATTTTCTCTTAATGTCGTTCAAAATGGAGAAGTAATGAGTGAATATCTAACTGCGTGTAATAAAACTATAAAAACATAATAGGATGCTTACATTATTAGTTAAACTCAGAAAATTTAGTCGTTTCTACACTTAATTCGAATTTTCTCTGATTTTTTTGTCTATTGTTTCTATATTCTTCTTTGTTAAGGATTTTACATTTGCAAATATCCATACACTGCAGATTTGTATTTTCCCTCTACATCTCACTATTCTTCAATTGAATAATAGTACAGCTGCAAGTTAAAAGTCAAAATGGCGATTCAAAATGGCGATTCAAAATGGCGGAAATTCATCCTTTTTTAAAATTATTTCTTAATGTCGTTTACATAGGAGAAAGGATTTGTGAATATCTTACTGAGCGTAGTACAACTGTTTAAAATGCCAACAGAACACTAATTTGATCACTTAAATTTAAATCGGAAAATTAAGTCGTTAAATTTGAAATGTGTTAATTAGCTCAAAATGGCAATTCAGTTGACGTCTTATACACTCGAATTTCGTAAATTACCCAAACTGCTTAAATCTGGTTCGTTTTGCAGAAAATTAATTACACTTTGCTTTTTTATTCATGAAATAATGTTCAAATATGCAATGAAAGTTGGAAAAAATTTTGTTAATGACTTAGGATTTTTATAACACAGATTTTTGTTTAATTACTTCTATTGTTAAGATAAATTTTTGACGACAATTCCGAAGACATTTTACCTTTTACCTGTCTCACCATGCTTCTTCATATAAAAAGTGAATAATATCATACAATAATTGCTTTTTTGAGGACAATATGAAAATTAAGCTACCCGAAGAGCAGTATCCCCCGAGCATTAAGGCGAGTGGACATTCAGTTGTTGGAAATTCTTGATTATTTTTAGTCCAGTGTAGAAAAAAAATAAATGTTTATGTTCATGTGGAAGGTCTAGTGCAACATAACTTAGTATGATTTTTAAAATGATTGACCACGACCAATTATAGGGCTAGTAATTGTTACATCATATAAATCTGAATATATTCTAATATCCAAATATAAACATACAAATGTATATGTTAAGAATTATCAGTATAATATACGTAAACCATAAATTTTCCTGTATATAAATTTTAAAAAAAAATTGAAATTTACAAAAGCTGAAAGATGAAAATGTTTGTGTTCAATCCCCCCCTCGATTCTTGATACAACCTTACACTATCCTAACAAAGAAGTGTGGATCAAGTTGCCTTGTAAAGTTCTTGAAGTGTTCAAGAAAATTTAGTTGTCAAGAGAAGTGTTGACTAGATCGAAATCAGGAATGGCTTAGGCCTATTGGTACGAAAACTTGTAAGTGATAGGAATCACGAGGAATCTGCAGGCGCTCTTAAATTGCATAATTTTACAACTTTTCTCACCAAAATATGCACACAATGTGATTTCAGATGATCAAGTTTGCGAATTTTCTTGCTAATAGAATGACCTTTCTTCCCTTAAAGACAACACATCTTCATGTATACGAGGTCACAAAACAAAGAGCTACATGTCTTGAATATTAAAGCTTTTTTTTATACCCCCGCTTGAAAAGCGGGAGGGTATAGAGTAATCGGTATGTCCGTCCGTCCGTCTGTTACGCTTTGGGGTACCCATCTCTTATCCGCAACTCTTCTCATACCACTGAATGAAATTTGATGAAACTTTCACAGAATCTTTATTACATATTGCCATTGTGACCTCCTATTTTACCACGGGTACTTTTTCATCCGACACACATTTTGGGTTTCCCCTAGCAAAACATGGGCACTGTCATTATAATCATATTGGAGACCGGGGTATCATTTAGTGAGCTAATTGCTTACAGAACCTCTAGTTCATTTTGCATATGGTTTTGGATAATAAAATAGACTTTTAACATTTGAACATAAATGTTTTGTTCCTTGAGTGTTGGTTTATTGATTGTATATTGTTTAACGCCGAGTCAGCAATTTTTCAGCCATGTTTCGGCGGACTATCAGTTTAATTAATCGGTTTTTGAAGGATTTTGGTTTCTCTGGCGGCCCCTGTGAGCTTACTCTTTTTCGAACTCCAGAGAAACGATCTTTTAGATGCCAACGGGTTGTCATCCTTGACACGGGGCACCATTTTACTTGAGGTTGAAAATACCAAAATTCCGAAGACAGACTGAAACATATTGCAAATAAAGCTGGAATAGAAGATGTTAGGGGATAATACTAAGTTCTTATAAGTGCTAAAAAGGTAGAACAAAGTGTTCAATGAAATCGGACAAGAATTTCTTCAGTTATATTTGATGATGTGCCGAGGGATGTTGAGGTAGAAGTGCGAGTTGATAATGACAGGATTCAGGAGAGATTTTAGGTGGACGGGGGCTCAAAGGCTTTGGAACACGTACGGTCAAATACGAAGGGGGAAATTTGGAAACTCTTAAATCGAGTTTGTTTTAACTATTTCCAGAGAAAAATGAATCTTTTCAAGTATTTTTTGTTCATATTTAATGGACCAATCAATAAACTATATATACTATATATATAAAAAACAAACTGTAATTTATTTTCTGCTAACCGACTCAGAATAAAGCAGTTTCTACGAAATTCGAGTGTATCAGACGTCATTTTGAATCGCCATTTTGAGCTAATTAACACATTAAACGACTAAATTTTCCGATTTAAAGTGATCAAATTAGTGTTCTGTTGGCATTTTACACAGTTGTACTACGCTCAGTAAGATATTCACGAATCCTTTCTCCTGTGTAAATGACATTAAGAAATAATTTTTTAAAAAGGATGAATTTCCGCCATTTTGAATCGCCATTTTGACTTTAAACTTGCAGCTACACCATCATTCAATTGTAGAATAGTGAGATGCAGAGGAAAAAATACAAATCTGCAGTGTATGGATAATTTGAAAAGTAAAATCCTGAACAAAGCGGAATATAGAACAATAGACCAAAAAATCAGAGAAAATTCGAATTAAGTGTAGAAACGACTAAATTTTCTGAGTTTAACTAATAATGTTAGCACCCTATTATAATTTTTATAGTTTTATTACACTCAGTTAGATATTCACTCATTACTTCTCCATTTTGAACGACATTAAGAGAAAATTAGAAAAATTTGATGTCCGCCATTTTGAATCGCCATTTTGACCTTTTTAACGCCATTTTCATGAAGGCCAGCATATTTTTTCGGATTCAGCATACTCGAAATAGGTTAAAAAACTATGCTGGAACAAATAATAATTATTTGCCGTTAGAAGTATTTTTTTGTATAAATCGGACCAGACTACCTCGCACACCGCGTCAAACACAAAGACAGCCGCACGAGATTTACATGCATAGTTGCCTCCTTAGCGTCAGACACAGAGACAGATGCGCACGAGATTTGCATGCGTATTAGGCAGGTCGATAGGTCAGCAGCTAAGGAGGCCTAATACGCATGCAAATCTCGTGCACATCTGTCTCTGTGTCTGACGCTAAGGAGGCCAAATATGCATGTAAATCTCGTGCGGCTGCCTTTGTGTTTGACGTCAGTGTGCGAGGACTATTGAAATTGGCATGGAAGTCCTCGTGTAATTTAAATCTATTAGTCTACATTTTTAATGTCAAAGTCTACGATTTTATTTCACAATGAAATGGAAATATAAGGAATCACTGTCTAATTAGGAGAGTGTGCCAGGGACATCAACAATAGTGGGAAACATGGGATAATTTTAGCATAACGGGCTTGCAAATTATCCCATGTTTCCCACTAGTGTTGATGCCCTTTCATACTCTCCAAATTAGACAGTGATTCCTTAAATAATAACACAAAATTAAGGAAAACAATGTAAATGAAAGATAGAATATGGATGGAAAATCACAGAATACAAATGAAATTATATAATACAAATAAAAACATCATACAGATGGAAAAGTATGAAAATTTGAATGAGTTCAATTTTTTAAACAAGAAAAACAAGAAAGTAACAAACCCAACAGAGCTGCTAGTGATACATGCACACATGGATTCTTAATTTTTTAATAATTCATTTAATTTTGTTTACATACAAACTATTTTATCTATTCATTTAATTTATACATCTTGCATAAATTCAAAATAAAAAATATATTGTGCGGAAAAGCAAACTTTCAAACATATTATTGATATTTGTTAACAAATTGGAAAAGAACAAATGACGAAAATGAGCATTTTAACAATAAAACACTAATGACAATTTATTCCAAATTGAAATAGATCAAGCTCCTTCCATTCTTCCTGTTTTATTTGTAGACAATACCCAGATAGCTACAGCATTGATTGCCTTCCGGTATCCGATTTGAAATCAACACCAGAACAGACTAAAGCTCATCCGGTTCCGGTTGTCGCATCCCCCGTTGAGTTTCAGGAAATATTTTTGAATTTCCATTTCTCTTGTAGGTTAATTATGAGAAATGACTTATACAGATAATAACAATCCAAAATTAAATTTTATCCGTGTTACTGATTTAAATAATATCAAACTAAAATGGTAAAAGATTTTTTAAGTAAAGTAAAATAATTATCTTAAAGCCGCTTAACCCGAAACAGGCACATATTATCTTACAGAATAAAAGTACGTCATTACATAGATAATAAATTATAAGATTGATTTAATAGTTTATTACAACAATCCTTACATGGAAAACGCAGATTAAAAACCTTATTGACAAACAGTAGTTCCTGACGGAAGTTAAGATCTATTGTGAAGTCAATTAAGAAAAAAAATAAGTTTATCGGATATATCTAATATTGAAGATAATTCAAACCCGATTATTTTTTTCTCTATTAGTAGAAAGTCTTACTCATAATACATCTTTTCAAAATTAAGAAATTAATTGAATATAATCCATAGTAATTTTTATATTGATATGCATATTTAAAGGAGAAAGGAAAATCAGATATTTTAAATGATTTTTTTAAAGGAGCTAAAATATTGTCCATGAACAGGTAATATATGTACTTTGTTGTGAAAAAAAAGTGCTCGGGTTTGTTCTTCATGAGATAAACATGTAAGCGATAAAATTAATTTTTCGAAGGTAATTTCACGTGATATCAACAATGATCAACATAGGATTATTTTTTGTGTGACCTAACAAAAATTATTTTTTTAACTTTTGAATTTTGATATCTTTTTAAAGAAAAAGACTTTGGGGATATAATTTGACAAAAGTTGAAACAATTTATGGACAAATATTTTTCAAGAAGAAAACGAATATATATTTTTAGCGATTAGAATCGGACCAAGCGGCTTTAAAATAGAGACAAACCATGTCCTATTCTTGAAATAGATTTATATATTTGATAGAAAAAATAATTCATCGTAAAGCAAAAGTTAGTACAAATGCATACAATTTTGAAGGTAAACAAATAATAAATTTATGATACTTTTATTATTTTAGCTACAGCAAAAATCCCCTTTACAACGGCTGTAAACGGTCACGTGTTTGTCCCACCTACATCTCCACCCCAGGTAGAGCAACTGATACATCCATATTCTGTTTTATTCCACTGAATCGTGTCATATCAGTATCATTTAAATAGAAAGTAACGTATTTTGAAAAATGGAAATCTAACATGCTTAAAAATTGCTTCATACAAGATATGCTTCAAATATTTTTTTGAAAATTCAATGGTTTGCAGACCTATCCTAGACAGTCTAATACAACAGTATCATGTGATCCTTTGGATTGTTCAGACCATTGCCAATGTACCTACATCGTAAAGCTTGAGAAAGACAAAACGGTGCAATTGGTATTGCATAACATGGGTATGATCAATGTTGACATGTACCTATCTTAAGTTTTTTGGTATGTTTTATGACAGCAATCACTCACGTTAGTATTATCTTTTATTCAGATGACGCACCTTTTGGTATGCCTCATCCTGTTCATATGCATGGTCATCACTTCCATGTGGTCAAGATTGCCTATCCTCACTACAATTCTACTACCGGGGATATCATAGATAAAAATAAAGATATTAAGTGTAATACTAAGAGCTGTAATGATGCGTCTTGGAGAAATGAGAATTGGACATTGGGTAATGTTCCAGGGTTGAATCTCGAGAATCCGCCTCAGAAGGACACGATAGCAGTGCCTAGAAATGGCTACATTGTTCTAAGACTGAAAGCTGATAACCCAGGTAACTATGTTATACTTGTTTCTTTTGTTTTACAATTTTGATGAGTTGTTTATCGTTATAAATTATTAATTAAGTGACTTTAATAACTCAGTCTACAGTCTTTATTGAATAAAACAACAAGACATGAAGAGCAATATAATCTTACCCAACTCTTGTTTTCAGGATTTTGGTTTATGCACTGTCACATCGAAATCCACCAAATAGCTGGCATGGCGGTCCTCTTCCAGGAAGGTGACGTCAGCGACATGGAACCCGTTCCAGAAGGCTTCCCCACATGTGGCAGCTTCCAGATGACGCCAGAAGAATTCAAGCAATATCTAACACCAGAGGGCGCAAGGAAAAAGAAACATGTGCAGAAGCGTCTAAATACTCCTAAGCAAATTCTGGTAGAAGAGGTTGATTATCATATAGTCGATTACGTGCCCGTTGTAAAAGGTAAGTAAAACTACGATAGTGGTCTTAAACAGGATTTGAAAATGAGTTAAACGTTTGTCTAAAAATATGTCTCATGTTAAAATCTATCCAGTACGTCCCTTTATAAGCCATTTATTTTATTTTTCATCAGAATATTTTATCTAAACTTAACAACAAGAAGAAGAGAGGAAAATCAAATTATATGATACTAGTATATTGAACCATGGAATTTCCATGTTTCACTCTTTAAAGAATATGCAAAAGGTTTTATTCACACAATTATACTCAGTAGTTAGTTTTAAATTCTCTAATTCTGAAACATTAATGTAACATAAATATCAAAAAGGTCCCTCATATAAAATAGGTATAAAAAAAAAAGATAAGAATAACATTATTGTATAAAACTACATGTAATTTAATCAAAACATCGTATATCATTTTCATTTTACAGAAAGAAAAGAAGAACCAACATCCTCTCAAGAAAGCGGGAACGTATTTAGAGAATTTCATCGTTTTCATCATAAACACCATAGAGTCCATGTGGCTTTGATTGCAGTTCTGACATTGTCACTTTTAATAAACTTGATCTTCATCACAACCTGCATATGTCGTAAATGTCGACGATCTTCTGCTGTAGACGCACTGTCACAGAAAAAGACGATGCTTGCCCAAAATCTTGTAAACCATGAAGGTTTAAGTGCTTCGGAATCCAAACAACGTCTTGTGTAAAATTCTGAAGCCAACTCAAGCTAACAATCAAATAAAAATTAATATTGAAGTTTTATATATGTTGCCTTAGTTTTATTGTCTTAATTTCGAATATGCATGAATGCAATTTAACTTTACAGGATGCTTTAACTATTAAATAAGTTACGTTTTACTTGAAAATATTATTTATAAAGTTGTTTGACCTGACTCCCGTTTATGTTGTCATGATAGCTTTCAGAATAGATTTGGAATTGGAAAATACACACCATGACTTGTCCTTTGAAATGTTGACATTACATTTTGTTGACTTCTTTTGTAAATATACTGTAGCATTATATCCTGGTGATTACCTAGAGTATTGTATCATATACTGTAGACTTTCCTCCTGTTTCATGTCTTGTAATACCTTCCCTGAAGATATACTGTAAACCAACTTTTATTCGCATGCGAGAAATTTTCGCGAGGTTCGCGAGAGCCTCGTCATCGAGAATATTTCTCTCTGCGAACCAGTCCTTGACCTCTCTGTCCATTAAAAACAGGTCCAAAAAAGGCTTGATCGCGAAATTTAATCGTCGCAAATTAGTTGACCCCCGGTAAATCGCGAAATGAAGTCGTCGCGAATAAAAGTTGGTTTACAGTAACATTGTTGTAGAAAAACCTTGAAATTGATTTCAAATCAAACTTATTAAATTATTTCCTATTCACGGTTTGAGGTGTCCCATTAAAATAATGTCTCCCAAAAGTCTTCTCGACAATCTGTTGTTGATATCTCTACCGAGTGGTGAGACTTCTGTTTCAAATATTATATATTATTGTATATTTAACTATATTGTTCTATACTCGGCACTTAGGGTCATTTAGAAGGGAGACATCTTTTTCATGCCAACACCTACTGCGACACGGGACCTCGGTTTATACGGTCTCATCCGAAGGACCGGTCTCCACGTTCAACAAAGGGATTCGATCCCGCAACGTAAGGATCAACTCCTTACTTCGCGACTCTAGAGCAGATACTCTCATCACTGCGTCACGCAAGTGACTCTCTCTCTCTCTCTCTCTCCTTTTATGAAATTATTATTCAACAAATAGATATATTCCAAACATACTTGTACTATCTGAAAGAGGTTTTCAGTCGATTTTGTTGAATGTATTCAAATAACATTTGTTTTACATTAGATGGCGCACTTTTAAAAATCATTGACAAGATTGACTTAGGACCTGCAAGTCCCCAGCTTCACTAATTTGCGTAAACTGTTTTTATCTGTATAGGAAGTAAACTCAATGCATAATTTTTATGAACAATGCATCCAACATATTACCAGATCGGAATGTTTTCTTCATCTTTTCGCAATATTTGACAGTGTGTGTTAGATAGGTCATTTACAAACCAGGAATCAACCAGCATCAGTATTACTTTCAATAAAACGTCTATGGTTTATGGAAAACTGATTTTGATA